GGTCGGTATGTGCCTGTGGTAGAAGCAGCAGGAGCAGCAGGCAGGGGGCTTTCAACCCGTGGTGGTGTGGATATAGCAGCAGCACGTGTGGGCGCAGGAGGTGCTCCTCCACGTCGCCAAGTTCCTTGGGGCTGCGCTGGTTGCGCTGCTAGTTGATTGCGCTGCACCGCACGGCGTTGAGCAGCATGTGCTTCAGCCTCAGCCTCGCGTTCGGCACGTTTTCTTGCCTCTTCTTGAATTTTGGCACGCTCTTCTTCCCGTTTCATGCGTGCTTCTGCGGCCTTCTCTTTCTCTTCCCGTTCCTTAGCCTCGGCCTCCTCCTCAGCTGCACGCCGCTCTGAAGAAACATGAGGAAACGATGAATTTGTTATCCAGTATACTCACCAGCTTCTAATCGGGCCTCTTCTTCCTCCTGCTCTCTGCGGATTCTCTCAACCTCAAGACGCTTTTGTTCTTGCTCGTCTTTCATCATCTGATGTGCAATCCGCATCTTCTCCTTCTCCTCCTCGATTCTCTTGCGTGACTCCGCGAGTTTGGCTGAATGTTCTTTACTCCGCTGTGCGATGATGAACTCCTTCCTCTGTTGATAATCCTGCATCATGCGGCTCAAACGTTTCTTGGATGCGATGTCCTCCTGGAAGGCCTCACGAGCGCTCTCAATACGTGAGCGCTGGAGCGTCTCGAAGATTGTGCGGTCAGTGGCCTGCTGTTCCGCGTAGTCCTCTGCAAGCAGCGGCCGCTCTTCCTTGCGATACGCACGCTCGATGTGGTCGATTCGCTTGGCAGCGGTACGCAAACGCTGGTTGAGCTCTTTCTTCTCGCGTTCGAGCTGCTCGACTTGCATACGCATAAGTGAGTCTGTCGATAAATCTTCCATTTCCTATGGGCAGTCATCAGTAACCCTTGAATAGACCAGTTTGAAAAGGGGATACGCACGTCCACCGACACTTTCAGGTTGCCCTTCTTGATCAGCGTCTGTGCGAGCTTCTTGGCTTCCTCCGCACGAATAGAATCGACTTCCTTCTGTGCGCGTTCCCTCTCCTTCTTCGCCATCTCGAGCTTGGCGCGTCGTACCTCCTCATCCTTCTCGCGCCGCGTCGTTTCCGCACGACGGCTGGCCTCCTCCTTCTCTTTGCGAGCGGAGAGCTCAGAGAGAAGCTCGCGGCGGCGGGCAACGAGTGCACGACGGAGCGACAGCGCATGCCGTTCAGCGTTCGCAGCCGCGACAAGCTCCGCAAATTTGGCATGCTGCGCAGCTTCTTCTTCTTCGGGAGAGAGTCGGGGCGGGGGGTACAGAACTGCGAGGGAATTATGCAGTGTCACTGCGAGCGTGCTCAGCCGTGTGCGCACGAGCTCTGCGGCGCTGGGCTGGATGCTTGCCTCTGTGTTCGTGCTCGTGGACGGGATGGGGTCCTCAGAGCTGACTACGAAACCCTCGTCGATGAAGGTGATTGTGCCAGTGGCGTGGTCAACATATACGCTGCGCTCACCGCGGCGTGCACAACCCATGAGGAACGCTTCTACCTGCTCAGGGCCGAGCCCCTTGAGGGGAGCAACAAGTTCGAGGAGCGAGGTGATGGTAAGGGTGGAATAAATTTGAGAAAGTTGCGCAAGCAGGCGGGAGAGCAGTGCACGTTCCAGGAGGGAACGATAGCCAAAGTATGGTGTATCCTGTGCACAAAGTTCTGCGAGAAGCGGGGCAGTGGAAGAGCAAAGCGTCAGGGGATCGAATGAAGCTTCGAGGAGCGTGTACAGAGATTTGATGGGTGCTGGGGAAAGACGGAGGACGTCACGAGAAAGCTGTGAATGGGTAAACATACATTCAGTTCCAAGGTGGCAAATATACATACGGCATCTTTGATCAGCCCGGCGCGAGTGGGTGCTCTGGTGAGACCAAGAAGAGCAGTTAGGCGGGATGTTTTGCTTTTGCCATCCTCATCTTCGTCTTGTAGACCGACAGGGACGGCCAAGGCACTGACAAGTACCTGGCCGGCGAGTTTTGCCATCTCCTCTTCGCTCTTTCCCCCAATACTAGTAACAATTGCGTGGTAGCGACCCCATGCAGCAGCATGATAGAGAGCATTTCCGCTCATCAAGAAAATCTTGGTTAACTTTTCGTAATAGTTCGCCATCATCGCCGGACGGGGAGCCTTTTTTGCCATTGTGAGCAGATTGTGCACATCTTCGACACTGCGGAACGCCTCCTGCCAAAGCTCAAGTTCGACGGAGGTATTAAGCTGAGCGAACCGGGTGTCGAGATGATGTTGCAGTGTCTCCGCATCCGATAGGTTGATAGCATGTGTTTGATGCGCATATTTTGCGACATTGGAAAGGTGCAGTCGAAGAGTTTCACAAAGTCTCCGGAACTCGACTTTCCGTTGGTGCTTTAGGCAGAAACGGAAAGCTTGCTGTGCAACTTGCTAAAGAATTCATGTTAGAAAATATGGAATCAGGGTCATCCCGCATCACGCTGAGGCGATCATTATAAAGAGCCTGAGGCGCTGATACCTGCCTAAATTAGATGCCTTCCCTTCAGGAAGCATATCGAGGACCGAAAATTAGAAAAGGAATGGAACTGCTTTCCAAAGGTGCATGCGGGTAGTCAGGAGGAAAATGAGCTCACCTGATAGATGACTTCCAGCCGAGCATTATTCTTGAGAGTCTCGAGTGATGTACGATAGCTCTCCCACAAGAATTTGAGCCAGGGTGTGACGAGTGCACGATCCGTGCGGTCCTTGCTCTGATCACCACTAACAGCGCCAAGGAGAATGCTCTCAGGCGTCTCGCTTGCCTCAAGATCATCGACATCAACAGGTCCGGTGACTTTGTCCGCTTTCTCCTGCGCCTCGGTGACTTTTGCATCTGAGAGCTGAATGAAACGGTTGATGACAACCTCGATGCTTCCAACGCTCGAATTTTGTGCGATATTCTTGTATTGCATGAGGCCCTCTTTGGCAGTGCGGCCTTTACGCATATCGACGCAAAGTTCCACGAAGCGGATTACGATTGGCTCGAGCGTAGTAAGTGGTGTCGAGCGGAAGCGCTTTGAAGAGAACATCTCTACGAGCGACTGAAGAGCCGCATGAGACTGACCGACAGAGACTAGGCCCTCTGCTTGCTTGAGCACGGCCTCAGGTTTTGTGAACGGCGCCATGATTGGGCTGTGGGTTGTTACAATGTTAGTTGTGCTTGTCAAATAGATCCTCGTACGGGCTATTCAAGTGTGTTTCGAGTACGAATTTTCCCGCTCGAAGGTCTTGTACAGCTCTTTGATTTCGCTGTGAGTCGGGGTAATGGGCTTACTCGATACCGGTACCGTTAATGACAACGAAAAAAACTAAGTTCAGTTGACCCGTGAGAAATATCGTCCGTTTTGGACTTTCTAAAGGCTGAAACTCCGACGGATGAATGATACGAGCACCTTTCTTCATTGGACGACGTCGTAATTGTACAAGGTTGATGAATACATTGATCTCATCCCCAGCTATCTACCTTTCACTTCAAACCCACCGTTGAACAATGACACTGTTACTTAGTCCAGCACCCTCGATTGTTTCAGTATCATCTTCCAAGGTACGATTAGGGAATGTCGTTCCAATCGTATATGGGCGTGACAGATTCTCGGGACGAGAACTACGAAGAAATATTTAGTGTTTTTGGCAAATTTCCAAGGGCTAAACACAACGTACGCATTGATGAACGAGCGAAGATCACCAACGGTATGCGTAAGGTTCATCCTGCACGGCATACGTGTGCCATCTGCCAGACGGATCTGCACGCTCGTAGTAGGCTGCGTCTGGTCGACCTCAAAGCGGGTGTTGATACTGTGCCTCTCGACACTAACACTTGGACCAGCAGCACTGCTGGTGCCAGACGGAAAGGATCCTGGCATCAAAGCTGCTGCACCAGAGGTAACAGCAGGAGTTGGTGCACCAAGCCTTTGTCCAGGTCCTGAAAAGTTGCCCTTCTTTGGGGGTACATAGTCCTCGCTAAGCCGGGTTGCCACGTTGAGGTTAACACGCTGCCCAGGTGTGACGTCCATGAAGGATACGGGCGCAGTACTTGTAAATAATGGAATGAACGAAAATATAATGATAACAGAATGTAACATACCCTTGCTGGATGGACCTCAAAAGTTCCTGGTTACCAGGCTCATCATATCGCATTAGTGGTCCATCTTCAAGGCTGAATCCGTCTCTCCAAAGATGGAGGTGCCGGACAACGATGTCATCTTCGTCTTCATATAGAATGCCAGGTCAGCCATAGGTAACGACCACTAGAACAGCGATCGGTAATAAAACTCACCATCTTTTGCAGTCGGATCCGGTACATATGAGCTCTCCACTTCGTCGCCTCCAAGGATATGCCCGCCACCACTGAAAGGTCCAGCTGCTCTACGGGCGTCAGGTGGAGGTGCCATCCCACCCCTTCAAAATACAAAGTCTTTGTCAGGATTAAAACATCGATTCAGGCGCTGAACGACGTACTCCGCAGCCTGCCTCAAGATATCACTCACGAGACGCCCTCCAGGACGAGCACTGGCAGAGTTAGGGTTCTGCACTGAAATGCCACTAATACCCAGCTGGTAAGCTTGAGTACTATTGAGCAGGGACCAAGCTTCACACACCTCCGCTCGCCACCTGCAAACCAGTTCTCACCCTCTTTGTCCTCATCGTCGTTGACCCCTCCTGGCATCCTAGCACTACCAGATGTAGGGAGATTCGAAAGACTTCCAAAGCCACCTCTATTTACATGTAATGCTTAGATGGTTGTCAAAGATAACGGTGCTGGAAGCGCACCGAGATGAGGATGAGGAGTTCCTGCCGGGGTTGTTAGAGCCATTCCAGTCTCCAACTCGACCCACCCGAGGTGCAGATGGCCGGCCCCATCCAGCCGGTAGAGGTTCGCTGTTCTGGTTTCCTTCAAGAGATTGTCCTCCGCCTGACATCGTGTTCGAGTTAATGATATCGATCTACTATACAATCACAACAAGTCCAATACTTATACTACGTGCGTGTACCAGTGTATATTACATAAGAAAATAAATTCCTCTAGACGGACGTGACGCGTGACCACCACCAGTGGAGGTCGACTATCATGCAGAGGTTCGAAGACAACAGAAATTGTTCGGATTGACAAGCCTTTGGCGCTGTAGAAGTTGATTTGCTGATGCCTCTGCTATGTTTAAAGAACGGATCACTCAGTGCTGCTCTACATCGACTTGGTGAGTCTCTTTGGGCGCAGTTCTAGACAATCAGTTCGACGCCGAGTATGGAATCTTACCGACGTCATCTGTCGCACGCTTCAGCTCGGTCTATTCCATCTAACTTCACTCGAGCTCCAGATAACGTAGTACTTCGCTGTCGGTGCTAGTCAATCCCAATGGGACTGCCTGGTTGTGGCAGTATCACATTTCGTGGTGAGATTTTCGCCAGAAGACTTCGACCGGTTGATGGACTACCTCAACAATGTTCATTCCAACGACCACGAGACAGCGGCGACATCAACAATATCTGTTCATTGCGAACCTCATCGCATGCATGTCAGTTCCCGGGAAATTCTGGTCACCACCGATGCCAATGGTGATGTGGATGTGGTTTCGACCAAGTTCTCCCCACCATCCTGACCGTGGTTTGTCTGCGACCAGGTGCAACTCCCGCCAAAGATAGTCCTGACTGCTTCTTCCATTACCAGCACGAATTGTGCTATCTCGAGCTGATTTTGGCTCTTGCGAGCAATTTCAAGTGGCATCCCTATTTGTTTGTCGATTACCATACATGTTGGTGCATCAGCATTGTTTCGAGTTCCTTCCTGTCCTTACTATGGACAGCACAAAGAAGTATACGCGGATTTTGCTCTCGAGATGCTCGTCGGAGGTGTTCTCGAAAGACTGGAGTGGCGAGGTCTAGAGCAGGGAGAGAGAGCCATTGTTGTTATGAAGGAGTCAAGAGACGTAGCCAACGACATGCTTCAGAGGTTCAGTCCGGTATAACAAGCAGGGCTTATCACCGTACGATCACGAACTGCTTCGTGATTGGACATTTTGGATTGTTATGATTTGAACGCTGTTGTATCATCTGTCACGTTGCCTTACTTTATACTTTGGGTCATTTTCGAAGCGATCCGTCGAGTGTAACCTAAGAATCGTCAAGATGTTGCGCGTCATGGTCACGTGTTTCCAAAATCAAAGCTTTCAAATTTAAACTACATTTAAATTGGACAACGCGTACGCCGCGGTTGGGTTTGCCCTTTGACCGACACTACATCGAGTGCCTCTCGAGAGCATTAATGCGTGCGCCAACCCCCCAATTGTCTCTCACATCTTCCGTACCTCCGAGCAGGAAACATGCGTTCAAGAAAAGAAAATTGAGCCATACTATTCAATCGTCCACGCGCTGCGACACAGGTTCATGTCCCTCGAAGGCAGACCAACTTACAACACCAAACGCACATAAGGCCTCGACTTTGTCATGCTCTTCATGCCACCGTGTGTTATCCGCATCAATGAGGTCTGGTGCAGGTGCAAGTACAGGCCTAACTTGTGCAAGGTGGACACTTTCCTAATTGTTCATCTTCTAAATCTGAGAAATTTTCAGGTGTGGATCAGCTGTATGTGCTGTTTGTTCTCGCACATGCTCCTCGATGTTACGACAATCCTCATTCCCGCCAACACCGGCATTAACACGCTGTCCCTCTCTGTCGGGGTCACCGTCACCGTCACCTTCCGGATCTCCCAAACGAGCGGCATTAAGTCTAAACATCTCCACCATGAACTGTAGTATACACCTCTCTCCATCTTCTGGCAAACGAAAGAAACCTTCAGAAAAGGATGACGTTGATGTTGACTATCCTTCGAAATCTCGAGGTACGCTTTTCGGGCTAGACGACGGAGCTCTCCTTGTTCCTGGATGTGGTCGACCCATTTGCAGAACGTGCTGCGTGGAGAGTGTTCAGAAGTAAGCTTTTTGATGACTAATGCTACGTTAAACAACGATTGAGGTCTTTTCTGATCGCAGCGATGGGACTCTTTGTGTAGATTGTTACGCCGTTGTTGGAAACGTGCTCTAGAATGAGGAACAATCCAATCATGAGGAGCCACTCATGCTCTCTTGAAGACCCTTCAAGCTTACCGACATCATCTGCATTGTCAATGCTTTGTTTTCTTTCTTTGTTACTCAGATTACCACACCCCAGCAATTCCTCATTGTACACTATGCATTCATTACTCTATGTTCGCAGGCACTCATACACTAGATGCAGCATGGAAATATTCGGCGAAGATTTGTGTTATGGCACTGTTGAATTGCGAGTTTAACTGGTCTTATTTCATTATCCTGGGAACGGGCATATGAATGGGATGTTGACATGCGGGGGAACGCGGAGTTCGTGCATCTGGAAGGGCCTCGCGTCAAGGATGCGCTATCATAGATAACGTTGATCACCGTGACCAGACCACGATGGGAGTGCAACGGTCTAGGTGGCCCGAGAGCGCTGCTGAAGAGATACTGCGCCTGGGCCTCTTGTTGACATGCTGGACAAGGGGTTTTGTAGCCTTTATTAAAGAGTTTCTCAGGCTGATGGTACATTCCATCATACAGCTGTCGCGACAGTAATTCTTTTTCCTTTGATCGAGCCCACCCCATTAGTATTTGCAGCCGTGACCCCAGCATGCACCGAATCCTATTGATGCGTGATGAACGGCGCCCTTGAAGAGTTTAGGGACATCAGCCGCAGCAGTATTACCGTACTACAACTAGATCCGGGCTCCGGCTGGTCGGATTTGACCAGGGAAGAATGTTTATTACATAGTCGCATCAGATTATTCCATGACTTGCGTACTAGCGGAGAAAGAATGGACAAGCAGTGACGCTTCGAAGTGCCACTGAGGTAGTCGATTGCCAGCGAAGGTTCAGACGTTCAGGTTATAAGTAACGGAGTCGTCGGTGATTCGGATGAGCCAGCCATGCTGTGGTAGTAACCAGAAGTCCTATCCGTATTCCGATATAGCAGCTCGATATCTCGCAGACAAACTCCTTGTACCGATATCACCAAGGAAGAAGCTAGACATTAATTGACACGGCATTTTTCGCAAGCGGGAAGTGTTCGGCTAGATCTCGTATTCAACAATGCAGGCTGTGGAAAATTGAAAGACACAATCGAATGTCAGTCGTGCTCCGGTCAAGTTTTGTCAACAAACATGGAATGGGAGTATCGGGGGAGTGCTCTTCCACATGACTTCGGTCATCGACCCACATCCTGTATTGGGTTATGCTGCGACACGAGTAGCACACTTCGTTAATGATTGATCCAACGATAATTTCCATTTCCATTCTATGCAGCAAACACAACAGGCCACTTGATACATAGAAAATATCACTGGAGGGCTTCTCATATTGCCTCGCAAGAGAGCTGCTATCTTAATGAAACATAAAGGCACGTCACTTTAACATTCAATAAATTCACACTCACAAAAGAAACTGCACCATCGAACTTGGCGTTTTTAAAAACTGATGTAATAAAGAGCATGGAGCTGATATCGCAGCATCCAGCATACGCCGACGGGTCCTCTGTGGCTTCCGCGCGGCACCACATCATTAACAGTGCAACGTCCCAGAGCATGAAGATAATCGGCATTGAAATCCTTTACAACGGAACTTGTCATACGCAGTACTTTTCAGACGTATGCGATATCAATATAAGACATCCTGGCGCAAACAGAAGACGAAGATAATGAGCGGTGATTAAACGTTGTTGACAGTGAATAGCGATGCCCGTGAAGACTGTCATGCAGCTGCAGCCTTTATGACGGGCCGATGATCAGTCAAATGCACCGCTTTAACTTGCTCTTCATTTCTAGGTTCTAGTGCGTCAGTTGCTCGCCATGTCCGCTTGGCATGCTTCAGCAGGTAGATCGCAGAAGTCGGAGTCATGCCTTCCATGCGCTTGGCGGCACCCTAAAGCGCGATCAATCCAGCATCACACCACATCGTCAAAACAAAGAGCTCACCAAAGTTGTGGGCCTGATGCTCTGTAAGCGCTCCCTCACCTCCTCGCTCAATCCCTGCACTTTGGAGTAGTCCATGTCAGGATCCAGTTGCAGCGACTCATCGGCATGGAATAATGCAAGGTCTGCCAGCTGTCGTGGGAGGTGAGGAGCGTAGGATGCTGTTTCAAAGCCCATTGAGATGTTGGAATAAAGAATGGCAATAGTTGTCACCTTCAATATCGATCCGCGCTCTGATATGAGGTTCCACAAGATCGAGACCTGGAACAGCTCCAGAACGTACGAGATCGGCGGCGGTCATACCTGGAATCTTCAGCATGTCGTATGCACTATTGCAGAATTCCAGCTGGTGTTATACCATAGAGACGCAACTACGAACCTCCTCATGATACCATCTCGTCCAATATCAAATCCGTATCTCCCCCAACCCTGAGCCAAAATAAATGAAATAATTCAGACAAGCTCGAAACGGCCCTCACCTGCGGGCTGAGCACAACGTTTGTGAGGAGCCCAGTGCCTCGCTGTATAGCGTCTCGATCACTCAAAAAGGCTGACCATCTGTCAGGAGAGACAATTCCAGCAGAATGACCTATATGAACAAACTATTAGATCGTAAAAAAACATCAGAACAGGGTCTGCGAGATGTACCAATCTCAGTTAGCCGCATGTCAGCGTTGTCGCTCCTCAGCGTCATCCGGTATTCCGAACGAGAAGTGAACATCCGGTCTCCATAAATAACCAAAATTAGCCTCGCATCAGAAATGGTTAGATCAGAGGTCAGGCGTACATGGTTCCTCCGCCCCCTTTCCTATTAGATCATCTACCATCACTCCCAGGAATCCATCTGCTCGGGTAAGCAACATCGGGGGACGGCATCGGGCTGAAAGGCCTGCATTAATTCCTGCAAGGCAACCTTGCGCAGCGGCTTCTTCGTAACCCGTTGTGCCGTTTATCTGGCCAGCGAGATAAAGACCCTACAAGGTGCCTGTGAGGCGACAATGACAAGATGCGGACACGAGAGTTACCTTGATACGTTTTGTTTCTAAGGTCGCTTGGGAAATCATGAGTTGGGCATGATGTTATATTCTTGTGCAACTTACAGGTCAGTTCGCGGGGATCAACATGATCATATTCAACACCATATGCCGGCCGCAGCATCTTAACTTGTTCAAGACCTGGTATTGTTCTCATCATTGGTTCTTGAAGCTCTTCGGGCATAGAACATGACAATCCGTTGGGATATATCAGGTCTACAGAAGATTAGGATGCGTAGTTTCCATCCAACACTAAAACATACCTGAATCATATCCTTCTGGCTCAAGCCAGATGGTATGACTGCCCTTGTGTCCAAAACGGGTAATTTTGGCTTCCAGTGAGGGGCAGTATCGCGGACCTGCGATGTCATGTTAAGAAAAGTAGAGAATAACTAAAAGCTAGAAACCTTTTTTGGTCTCCTGAATATGTACGCTGAGATGCATACTCTCCTTGATGACACGATGCGTTTCCAGTGTGGTGTGAGTTTGAAAACAGGGAATTTGGTTGTTCTATAGCAAACTCGGTCCTCACATCTAGTTCATGAACGTCGAAAACTTACAGCATGATCTACTTCTCGATGAACAAACGAAAACGGCTGAGGTTTTTGATCTCCATCCTGCCGTTCCATCCGGCTGAAATCAATGCTGTGCTTATCGAGTCTGGCAGGCGTGCCAGTTTGCAGGCGTCCAAGTTTAAACCCTGCTGCGTTGAGGGATGCAGAAAGACCCATAGAGGGTGCCTCTCCGATACGCCCCGCAGGTATACGACGCATCCCTGCCATAAAATTCATAGTGAAGGTATAAAGAGCGAAAGACAATTTGAGATGAAGGCATAAGTCGTGCAGCATAATTTGACTTAAGCCGCAACGTACCGATATGAATTTCACCGCCGAGAAAGGTCCCAGTACAAATAACGACCTTGGAACACTTGATGACATCTCCTGTTTCTGTAAAGAAAGACCGATGAGAACTTTTTCGATGTGCAGGCATAGCGCACGCACCTAATCGGACGCCAGTCACGGTTCCCCACGTTGACGAGGACGTGGATGCGCAGGGACTGTTGTCAAATACGAGGTCAAATACGCTTGCAGCACGCACGTCCAGGTTTGTGTAGCTAAACATGATGTCTTGCATATGATGCTTGTAGATCTTACGGTCTACCTGCGCTCTAGGTCCCTGTTTCTCGGATGTAGTGAGATGAGATGAGTATTATCCACTTGACTCACCCAAACAGCTGCACCCTTTGAGGCATTGAGCATACGGAACTGTATCCCAGCTTTATCTGTACGACAAGTCTCAGTTATTTGCATCTACGCACATCTGTAAGTGACGCACCCGCGATCCTTCCCATAAGGCCATCCAGAGCATCGACCTCCCTCACTAGTGTACCCTTCCCAACACCACCAATAGAAGGATTGCATGAGAGCTCGCCCACAGTATCAATCCGCTGGGTTAGCAGCACTGTTCGTGCACCTGTACGGGCAGCACCTGTCGCTGCTTCGCAGCCTGCATGTCCTCCACCGATAACACATACTACAGATGAGGTCAGCTGAGACATACGACTTTATAGCACACTACAAACCATCATAGGTATCTGGAATTGTGTTCGAGTTTGAAGTCGCCGTGTGTAGGGCCCGAATATTACGTGCTTCTCGAGAAGGCCGCGAGGGTAGTAGTTTTGTAGATGAGTCAGGTGCACTGGTGTACTGCGATGTTGACAAGCTTCCTGTGCTTAAAAGTCGCCGTCGCCGCAGTAGAGTAGCCCAGCTTTTTCTCGATAGCATTATGCACCTGGCGGACGGTCTGATGGGCAAGTGAAAATTTCAAAGACACTGAAAAAGATATTGAAAAAGTTTACACATACCTAGATGGTATCGATCAGTCTTCGGTAACTTGCTATCATGTACAAGGGTTCGAGACTGAGTTCGAGAGAACTGTGACACAAGTTCAAGTTGTTGAAGTTCCAAACTCTGTTTGGTCCCGTGAGAGCCCACTCCGACAACATTATCCAAAAGAAGGATCTCTCCGAAAATTCCAAGTACAGCACTAGCAGAGATGCAACTCGCGATGTAGGAACTTTAACCATCACTAGTAGGCTGCCACCTTCTCGCATGGACAGTA